ACAAAAAAATTTCGGAATCCATTTTCGCCTTGGCTAAAACCGAACTCATAAACTTTATTGTAACATTGTGTACATAATTTCCAAAATTATATCCATATTTCATTTTCCTGCAATTAAATTCACGTAACTTTCAAAATGCGAAAGTATAATGTACAATTGCGGTTTAAATTGGGTCGACTTTGCGAAACGCCAAACAGATTCACAAAAGTATGGTCAATGTAGGCGGACACAGAATTCCAAAAATTCCATATAACGATAACGAAAATAAATACTATATAGAATCCAAAAAAAAGCGATGGTAAATAAGGGACGGGGAGATTAAGATAAATGCCCACGAAGCAGCCGTGAAGTTCTAAGAATGAGGTGATCTATCGGAGCGTATTAGCCCGAGTCCAAAGGAGACCGATGATTTAATCTCGATTCATTTATATTTTTTTTTATAAAGTGCACATTACATATACAGGGTATCTCACGATGAATTATTAGAATATTTCCGAAACTGTTTCGACTTAAATTTTAAAAATTAATACAATAGTGTTATTGGGTATGCTCTCCTCAATTAAAACAACGGCGTCTATGTAGGTCTTCCGGTTATACCAGAAATTGACATCAACTTCGTTATTTTAAATGGACCACCTTATATATATTACGATCATTTTGAATTCTACTTATGATTCTAGAGACTTTCATAAAGCTTTTCTACTTCTAAAATTTACAATTTTCGAGGTATTAATTTTTTTTTTCAAAAAAGTAGCTCAAAGCAGTTCGTAGCGAAAAAGCATGCCCATTTTACAGTAAGAAAGCTGGAACAACACTACTCTCAGGGGAGGTGACTATACCATCATGATTTGATTAAGTATAAGCAATTGTAAGTCTATTATTCCATCCTTAATAACAATAATATTCAATAATTGACAATAAGAATCAAAATATTTAAACCATCAGCATAGGTGTTTGTTTTTATTAAAGGATTTTAGTTACTTTCACATAGAACACTACATAATTTGAAAATTAGAGGAGATGGATTTAGGGAACCATAGTGCTATTCAAAAGAGAATAAAAGTATATAAATAAATAGGTATGGTTTTTTCGCAACCTATAGCTCCGAGCTGCCTTTTTGAAAAAAAAATAATATCTGATTTATGGAACACCGATAAAATCTAAGGCGCTCCCGTCCCGGCAAAAA